TAGAGAAATAATCGGTAGAGAAGAGTTACAGAAACGAGCTACTGGTTTGAAAATATTGAAAAGAGCCACCTGTTTACAAAGTTAAATTCAATGTATGCCATAGGTTAAATAAATAGCTTCAATATGGATATCAATCGAGACTGCTTTGGAAATATTTATTTCTTAACTACATTTAACATTAATATTTAAATTGAATTAAGGGAATCAGATGATGTAAATATGCATCACAATTCGGGTGTCATACGTTTTAGTTTGAAAATCATTTGAAGAAACTTGCCACATGTTACACATGTAGCAGAGTTTCCACCCGTTTTTATATTTAATTGCTACTTGAATTAAGGGAATTAGATAATTTAAATGCCAGTTTAAAAATCCGAATTCATTTAAATTATACAGAAGTTACTCTATGAAATATTAAAATATGGGTGTCAAACGAAAGAGTATTGGAAATATTTATCTTGAACACTAAGAATATTAACAAGTAAATAACTTCAAGTTCGGGCGAAATCGAAATTTGTATACCCGGCACACGTACTAAATATCGTTTTTTCGGCGTTCAGTAAACTGCATGATAAGCAAGAGAATTTTTTCCAATGTCAAACAGTTTCATTAATAAGCTATGATATATTGAAATAGTTGGAGCAAGTGGGCGGTGCCACGCCCATTTAAAACAAATTTCATAACTGTCTTCTTTTATGCCAAAATTCTACTTCGCGTACCAACTTTCAACAATTGGGATCCAGTATTAACTAGAGCTGTAAAAGTAACGAAATTTCGGATACCCGTATGTATTCGCTACTAATCCAATCAACGCCCGCATCTTTCGTATCGTTACTTTATTCGTTATTTTTGATATAAGCACTTGTACCTCACAAGAATCATCGCAACAAGTATTGCAGCGTATGCATATGCATACATGTGCATACATATATACATATGTATACACGCAACATATTTTTGTATTGATTCGAACAATTTGATACAATCAAGCACTTGTACCTCACCCCTGCAAGACAGCTGAGTATCATATGAGTGCTCATTTTCATTACAAAAGTGCTTATTGAAATCCTCATTTTCGTTCAGGCCATGGGCAAAAATTGAGTGCTTTCCCCTTGTCAGTGTGATATTTTATCTCTTTCCTACCAACGGCCATTTCATATAAACGAAAAATATATCTATTTTGCTCTACAAACAAGGCAACTTATCATTTTTATGCTCATAATTTAATTACGGCTGACAACAAAACCGTTCATTGTTGTGATCACGAACTCCTCAGCACTAATAAACAAACTAATCATTGTTGTCATTACAAACTCCTCAGCACTAATAAACAAACTAATCATTTTTTTCATCACAAAGTACTCAGCACTAATAAACAAACTACTTATTTTTGTCATCACAAAGTCCTCGGCACTAATCATCAAACTCCTCATTTTTTTCATTACAAAGCCATCAGCACTAATCATCAAAGTCCTCAGCACTGGAAAAACCAAATAAGTGGAAAATAAACAATTTTATTTTTATTAATAAAATGATTTATTTAAGAAACTTTGTTGTTACAACAAAATACTTATTTATTGATTTCATAATACTTATATTTACAGCATTTTTAGTTTTAAAAGTTATATATTGAAAATTTACTTTATTTTTTAGTGCTTATATTTACAAAGTTAATGCTACTGGCCCGTAGTCATAGTCAAAATAAAGTCGACTTTAAAGTTAGTTGCNGACATAATTTTCAATGGGATATCTGTCAAAAAAGCTGCAACTAACTTTAAAGTCGACTTTATTTTGACTATGACTACGGGCCACTATTTATACTTCTGATACTATTTTTCTTTACTATTTTTAACGTTATAGTTTTATAGCTTAAGAAATTGCAAGTTTCATGTAGCCAAAAATTCGCGTGGATTTTCGATAATTTTTTTTTTCTAACTGTGTCAAGCATTTTCTTCCATACAAAGTGTTCGAAAACATTTTTGTATGGAAGAAAATAATACTACCCGCCAAATTAATTGTGAAAAATCAACGCGCATTTTTAGCTACTTGAAATTTGCACTTTCTTAAGCTAGAATTTAAACTGCATACTTAGTATTGTAAAATTTTGTTGAATTTTAAAAATTTTTCTACAAAAGTTTGAAATTTGGTCTTATGTGGTTTTTGTTAGACAATGAGCTGTATTTTTATAAACAAAAATAACAAATATTAAAGAAACAATGGAAAAATAGCAAAAAGTGGTCAAAATGTCGTGTCCCTATTAATTTTCACATGACTGTATATAGTTGTAATATTACTTTCATTTATATTTTTAGAAGTTAATTTATTTTTATTATAATACTCATATTTAAAAACTTATTGCTATTATTTACATTTTATACAAATGTTTGGTATTTTTATTTATTTATATATATTTGTATTCATATTTTTTTATTTAGCAGTTATACTATATTTACGGATTTTCTTTCAATACTAATATTTACGTATTTAACGATACTATTTACACTTAGGGCCGTTAACTTATCTTTTTTAAAGTAAAGTTAAACTTTACTACACAAAATTCCGAGTTTGGTGCTTAACTATTGATTTATCAATAATTTAAAATAGATAAATTAACGGCCTTTATATTATTTTTTAATATAAGTTTTAATACTATTTCTTATTTATACGTTATATTAATACGAGTATTATTAATACATAATAGTATATACAAAATTCGGGACTTGTTGTATATACCAATGTGTTCTGTATTGTGTATTTGTAGCATTTGTGGTTTCTGTTAGATAATGTGGTAAAACTCTAATTTTCTTTGCTGTTAGAAATTTTAGTACATTATCTACCAAAAACCAGAGAAACCGCAATTACANCACAATATGTACTAGATTCTGAATACCTCTAAATAATCAATTGGAAGTCCACGGAATTTAGACAATTTTTATTGTACACGGGAATATTTATTTTGAAATACTGCATATCAGATTATTTATACTACAACTTTCGATGATTTTAACTAGAATTCTGCATAACGCAGAATTAAATATCGCAAATGAGATTTTGAAAGACTTTGTAAAATTATTTGGTGGTTATGTGGTGACTTTTTGATAAGCTTTAAGCTTTTAAGATAGTTTTTCAGCGNATGTGGTGACTTTTTGATAAGCTTTAAGCTTTTAAGATAATTTTTCAGCGTATAAATTTGAAAATTACATGCAGCATTTAAAAAAAATGATAAACAAACCCAGCCAAATATTACAGCAAATTTATTTTAGAAACCTTGAACGACAAAACGTAATTGCAGATTCCAACAAAACTTCAAAAATTGGGGAGTTTTATATAGATTTTAATAAGGATAAGGATAGTTTTTGTTGCAGCAATAAGTTCGGACCACTCAAAATCATTGGAAAAGATTTAGACTCTAACGCTTTTAAAGCCCTAATTTTAGTAAATTTAGGAAACTATTTTGAAGAACCATTGCAATCCTCATCTGGTCTAGTCTATTTATGGTTTCTGTTAGATAATGTAGTAAAACTCTAATTTGCTTTGCTGTAAGAAATTTTAGTACATTATCTACCAAAAACCAGAAAAAACCCACAAATGCAGAATACAAGGGCATATACAAAAAATGCCGAACACAATAAGAGCTTCCAGTATCCGGTGCTTAAACATGTTGCAAATGCATTTGCAGCACAATATGTACTAGATTCTAAATACCTCTAAATACTTCTAAAAAACTTAGTGCTACTATTTAGAGTTTATTATTCTACATTATTACTTAAACTTTTTTTTGTAATATATTTTTTTTGATTATGTCTATTGTGGCTTAAACTAATATATTTTTTCAGGGCAGCGCGAACTTCTTCTTTCGACTTTTCTAGGAAAATATCTAATAAATTAAATAATGTTAGTAACAAACTTGTATTGTAGTTTTTGCTAGTTAAAGACTAACCAAAAAGAAGATCGACGACTTTAAGTCCCACAAGTGGAATCTTGCCAGCCCTTCCCTCCAAGTTAAAATGCGCCACGGTCTCGTCTGTAAATAAGCCACGCATAACGCCGTCAACTGTGCCTTTGGTGCCCTTTTGCCTAGCTAGTAGCCCCATCTATATATTGGAAAAAGATAGAGTTAATTACAAGGCAACTATAATAGGTTCATTCCTTATCTTTTTGGACTAAAATCTGAAAAGTGTCAATATGCCAGAGCGTAAGCAAAATGCGCTCACCAAAAGAGAGTAACAGGAAAAGTAAAGGAACGCAAAAAACCAAATTTTTAGTCCAAAGAATGGCAACAACAAAACTAACGTCAAATAAGAACAGAAATGTATGTACAAAACACATTCACACAAGCACAAGCACAATAAACACTTGCTATATCAATTATTTTTTGCCTCCTTTCAAGTTCAATTCATTTCTTTTACTTTTTAGATTATTCTCACTTTTTGCGTATTCTTTAATTTCCGTTAATTTAAATTCAGTTGAGTTTGACACTTTTCAGGATTTTGCCAGAAAAAATTCTTCTGACTAAATCTGACTACTTCGGACTGATGAGAGTCGCTCTCAGTGACTGTTGCTCTCTCATTTTTGCTGTCATTTCCGAGTTAAGGAACGCTTTTTGGACTAAATCTGACTACTTCGGACTTTTTCTGACTATTTCTGGGAGATAAGGAACGCGCATAATATAAATGAGAATATATTACCATTGCGTCGGCATATGCCTTGGTTTTCAGCTTGGCTTCAGCAGCCTGGACTTTCTCCACCGATGACATGGGAAGCATGCTGGCTAAATCTGTCGATTCCTCGGTTTCCACGTCACCGGTGATGCGACTAACAGACTGCTGAACCCTTGCTGTCAATACCCTGCATTCCCGCAACAGTTTGCTTTGCGCCTGTATTTCGCTACGTTCTGGCATCTAAAATAGGAAAACTTGTTATTACAAAACAGAATATATATTTATGATGTAAGTCTTATTACCTTTTCGGAAAGGGCACCTTGCATTTGATTAATCGTTTCACCCATTTCCAATTGGCGAGTCTCGACGCTATTAAGTTTCGCGAAAACTTCTTCTTGGCGTTTCTGGATAGCGTCTAATGTGGCCATAATTGCCAATTGGCTATTTTGAGGCGACGGCACATCCTCGGGAAGGGCTGGTTTTTTTGTTGGAGGTCGCTCATCAAAATGAGTTCCGACTGTAAACTGCCGTTTGCGAATAATACTACCTGCAAAACTAAATATTAGAGTAATAGTATAAAAATATAAAAAAATAGTACCATCTTGTGTTTTCCACTGGCTTGATTCCACTTGTGAACGAATTTCGTCAAAAATATTTGCTTCTTCCATAGTTTAACTTGAAAAATCATTAAAAAGGTGATGTAATAAAGGTATAAGTAAATATTTTCCTTCAAAAGGAATACAGAAATATTTATAAGTGATTTCATGCCTGTTTACATCTACTTCATTTTTATCTAAAATCGTAGTTAACAAAATGCCTAGACCAGATGAGGATTGCAATGGTTCTTCAAAATAGTTTCCTAAATTTACTAAAATTAGGGCTTTAAAAGCGTTAGAATCTAAATCTTTTCCAATGATTTTGAGTGGTCCGAACTTATTGCTACAACAAAAACTATCCTTATCCTTATTAAAATCTATATAAAACTCCCCAATTTTTGAAGTTTTGTTGGAATCTGCAATTACGTTTTGTCGTTCAAGGTTTTTAAAATAAATTTGCTGTAATATTTGGCTGGGTTTGTTTATCATTTTTTTTAAATGCTGCATGTAATTTTCAAATTTATACGCTGAAAAACTATCCAAAGGACCGAACTGTTTTACGCAATCTGGCAAGTGCAGTAAATTATGCACGTTAAAGCTTATCAAAAAGTCACCATACAAATCGCCAAATAATTTTACAAAGTCTTTCAAAATCTCATTTGCGATATTTAATTCTGCGTTATGCGACCTTTCACAAGAAAGAAGTCGAATTCCGGCATGCAATAAAAGAAAGTTGTAATATAAATCATCTGGTATGCAGTCTTTCAAAATAAATATTCCCGTGTACAATAAAAATTGTCTAAATTCCGTGGACTTCCAATTGCTTATTTCATCAAGATTTCGGGATATTCTGCAAAACTCCGAGGGAACAAAACTTGAGAGGTAATGCATTTTCTCATTCATTCTTGTTATGTTACCTCTTTTAATCAGCAATTGGAGTAGTTTCTTCATAATACCTAAATCTACTAAATGCATTGGTTCCAAGGGAAATTGTGAAACCATGCCAATATTTGCAAATTCCAACAAACTTCTACATTGTCTGTATTCTAAACTATGATGGTCTAAATCTAATCTATTTTTAAATGAATCGTCTGTCCGTAAGGGCCCAATTGTATTCGAAAAGCAAACCCTTCTTTGTTTATACTCACTATTACATATGCATTTTGGGCAACTGTTTTTTCCAGTATAGGACTTCACTCCTGTTACAAAAGCGCGAGCTGGAGAGTCACACGAAAAAAGCCTAGCATCGAACTGCTTTATTAATTCATTAAGTCCTACCTTTAGTCCGTTTTCTCTTAAAAGTACTAGTATCACAAAACTGCCTAAGAAATTCATCTACGTTATGGGGCTTACTCATACCAGAAAAACAGGCAATAATAAAGGGGTCCTCTTTAGGAAAACCTACGACAGAGCCTAAAATTGGCCACAACGTCCTATTTGAGCTTTTAAATATCTTCAATCCATCAATTCCCACGTCTATATAAACTTTATCTACGCTTTGCAAAAATTCGAAATCTCTTGACATAAAAAAAAACTGGATACCGAAATATAAGAACTCTCCCCCTGGTATGGTTTTAATATCTACTGTCTCCCGACTAGTACCTAAAAGAGTTTTAGCGGAAAGAGGTAGTCCGTCAACCCCTATCTTCCTCAATGTTTTTAATAGGTCCGTCAACGTATTCTGAGAGAGATTATTTCGGATAGCAAAAGCCTTTAACTCACTACTCCGTTCATAATTTGCATCTATATTTCTTACACTATCATCTAACTCATGTAAGTCGAATAAATAACTCTCACTATCGCTACTCTCATTACACCCAAAATCATCTTCATTAACCAAAACAGTATCTGATACACTTCTCACAGTAGGATCAAAAATATTTTGAAGGCCGGCAGCTCTGCTGGTACTAGGCATGTCATCATTACAACAAGGTACTCTATAATTGCTACTACTGTTACCAATTTCCATTTGATGAGCAAGTTGGTTCAGTTTTCTATATTTTGAAACTGATGCTTCAAAATCTTTCTTCTCCTTGCTCATCAAATTGGAAAATGTTTTTTTATTCATACTCATGATTCACAAAAATATCCTACGTTCAATTATTTTTAGTAATCTATTGATTATTAACTAAGATTAGTATTTTGACAGTAAATGCCTTTATTGTTTTGATCATTGTGGAAGAATACAAGTGAGATATCTTAGGGTTGACAGATAGTTGACAGGGTGTTCAATATGGCGATGACAGTGTGAACAATATGGCAGCCAATATGGCATACAACACCGAATGGCCCGAAGTTGCAAAACTACGACCCGAACGAAACGCTTCGTGAAAATCCAGGGTTGCGAAATGGTATTTTGTTGGAAAATATAAACGCCAGGATTTTGTGCAGCGCCGAATTTTAACAAAAGAGGGTTTTGTGTTCTCAAGATGAACAGAAAAGGGTTGCTGTGCTGTTTCGTTTTAAGCTTGTTTTAATCTAAAGGTATCTAATTAAATATTAAAAGGATACAAAAATTAAAGCAAAAATTTAAAATATATGTACATATCTGAAAATTAAAAAAAATATATATATATTTTCACGAGAGACAAATTAAATAAAATGGGTTAACTTTAGGGGAAATATACTTATCAGAATGGGTCAGATAGGGCCTTTACGTTATAAATAAAAATAATTCCTACTTAAATTTTATATAATTTTGGTGACGTATTTCTAAGCTGGCCGTGAGATCTGTGAAATAATACATATTTATGAGCATATATTGTGTTGATTATGCTCTAAATCGCTAAATAATTCCTGCAGCAATCAGCATCATTGGAAAGTGAAGTGACAATAGGCTGGTTTTCTTTATACAGCCCGTTTTAAATTCGAATTATTGTTATAATAAATTACAATTATTGTTTGTTTCCATTTCGGTCAACCGCGCAAATTATTTATTAAAAAAATTTCGTTTAAAAATAGCAGATTTTGTTTACTTTTGAATATCGAGTGCGGTATAAAGACATGGGTATAAATGCTGTAAAGAAATATATGTTGAGTCCAATCGGTTTTTTGCTAATACGGTTCTTGTGTAGGTATAAACAAGGTATATTAAAAAAATACCTCTCCATGAAAAAATATAGTTATTTTCGTATTTTAAATTAATCGAAATTTTATGGGGGGTTATAAAAACTGGTTTTAATCGAAACTTTGTTTTTTCGGCTATATTTGTTATTATTTATTGGCCCAGATGTAAATATTGAATGAACTAACATATTTTAAATATTTACGGAACTACCATTTGTATGCAACCCTGCCTATCCTATATTCAAGTAGATGTAATTCGAAAAATTTAAACGGATTTCTTCAAATCAACCTGAGCTGCGGACATATTGCGAATTCATTTTTAAACATTAACCACTACATTATGTTAGTATTAAATACTTTCAATTAAGAAACAATTCTTATTAGAAAATAAATATGAATCGTTTTATTTTAAATATTCCAATGTATATTTTTTGTTAATGCAGATAGTGCGGATTTAACGTATTTTATATCCGTTACATGGGGATCATAAATTTAAGGCAGATTGCTATTAACAATTTTTACACAATTTACGATTGCAATCAATTTCTTTCAAAACTATAATCTAAATGATTGCAAGTTGTACGATCAAAACAGATTCCAATATTAGGTATATTATGGAAATGCAATCCAATTTGATTTGAGTTATTCAGTTTTAGATACATTTATATTTCTGTGTTCGTATGGAATAGTAGTTTATGTCGGGAAGCTGGCTTTATTATTTACAACACAAGGAATTTTTTGATGACCCTTAACAAGAATATGGGCGTGCTAGTATCGGAACTATTTCTTGCACGTTTATTTGCCAAAATTTCTTCAACGGCTCGGCGCCAGTGAGGGTATGCTGCGAATGCCGCATTATACTAAAACCAGCCTTTTGACATAAGCTATTCCATATGAGTGGGGCACGTGCGAAATGCGGATTTGCAGTACTGCAGTATCTCGACACCTTCCTCACCAACAGCTCTGTCCTCTATGAGCTTCTTAATGTAAATGCAAATAAAAGATGGAAATTTAAGAAAAATTACATCACAGCGTTTCACTCTTGTAGTTTATTGGCTATCAAGCACCAGAAAATTTCCATCACGCATTCCATATGCCACCGATTGTCGTGGATCAATTAAAATACTGTCATCACAGCTTTTTGGTACTGCAGCAACTGGTGTGTGTGTCTATGTCGGAGTTATGTGGAGCTGTTGCATGACTAAAATCAATTTGGACTCTTTGAGAGCTGGCTTGCTTGTTGCGAGAGCTATTGGCATCAAATGTATGCAAATTAGATTTCCAAACGAGCAACTGTTGAATACAGGAAAAAATATATATTATGTGGTTCCGCTAAAGTGCACTACTACCGTGTATAAATTGGTCGACCTTCTAATAAATCAAGCAATCTTATTGTATCGTCATCGCCGCCAGTCACCAAGAAATTTCCACTTGGGTGAAATGCAACATCATTCTCCGGCGACGAATGCACT